CCCATTGACCACGACTCTCTGGCTTCTTTTATATATATTACATACGTAGAATCACAACATGTACTCCCTTAACATGTGTAATCTGTTTCATCAGTAATTTTGGATTATACACTTATAGATCACTCTAAACTTCATTGTGCCACCACAACTAGCCTTTTCTTGTATCTTATATGTCTGATCAATGTCTGATTTCTAAAATAATATCATGTTTGGCATTCAAGTGCTACTAACTATCCAGTATGACAATCACTCTATTTTGGGATTCAAAATATTATGACAGGATCAGATGCAAACACATTGCTAAGAATAAAATAAGAATGCAAGTGCTAATCCTAGAGAAAAGATTAGGTGAATTGCTTAAAATCTGAAGACACAGTGACCTGCTACTTGGGTTAAATAGCAATCCTGAGAACAGAAAGAACACAAAATGGTTACGTGTTAAAGTTTCTTTGCATCACTTTTTCCTCTCCCAGTAGTGATGCTGTCTGGATGCTGCAACATGGTACCAACCACCCTTTTGTCATGAGATCCAGCATGCAGACTGACATCTGTAGGATTCTATATCTCCTTCAGCTACTTTAAAATAGCCACTGTGCCAAGAAACGGCAGTCTCCTGTCTACAAGGTAAGCCAGAGGAGTTCTGTGCTCCTCTTTCTCTCATTTAAGTTGGTGTAGTCAAGCCAACATGGATTAAACACTGTATATGGAACCACGATCTGTATTTTATTTTTGCCTTCTTTTTCTGTTGGTATTTAGCTCAAGGGTCAATCATTCTCTACTACATCCCAAGACAAATCTATGTCTTGACAAAGTTAGGATGATATTTCTCTAATGTATGTCAGGCATTTTAAAAGGGCCTATTAAGAGGGGAATTTAAGAAATGTGAAGGTTAATTGCAGTTGTAAGATGCCTTTTTCTCCCCCTGCTCATAAGAGAAACATGGGTCCTTATTATTTGATTGAGACTTTGAATTTTTAGATGTCAAGAACTCAGAGCAATTTGATGACTTAAAGGTACATTGTATACACTGATCAAAACAGTATCTTACTACTCAGGCTCGAATAACAAAATTCTCCACCATTCCCCTGTCCTCCACCAGTTCTTTCAGTTTGGGTATATGTTTTCAAGAATCACTGTAATAGCAGTGTTTTTTGTTGCTATGACAGCTTAAGGGCAGAAGAAGAAATCTGAAAATTTATAAGGTGAGGTGATGTTCTGTCACATTACCTGATGTAACTGGAAAGAAGCAAACAAGCTAGATTCATAATTTATCCTTTAAAAGAAGTAGTGAGAAACAAAGTAGTATTGTAAAAGATGAATGGTGAAAACCAAAATTGATTGGATGGGATGAATTTAGACCAGGTACTTTTTATTTCTCAAACAGAAAACAGCCCTGCAAGAATGCTAGCATTTAGCCAAAACTGTTTGCAACTATGCACATATAGTATTTTTAAATGGCATACCTCCAATATGCCTTTCCTCTTCTTTTCTTCACTGTCTGTACAACCAATTATAACATGATAGCAGTCCTTACAGACTTTGTTCAATTTATTACCATCATATTCGAGATGTGCCTTATAATCAGAACATTTCCAGCAAACAACCTTAGGAAAAAAGAAAGATAAGCAAACATATAAAATGTAAGTATTTATAAAACTTCATGGAAACAAAATTTAATTTTAAATCAATATTATTAAATAAAATTAGTAATATTTTTAATCATCTAGAACAAGAAAGATAATTGCTTTATGATGCTACTGTGTCAACTGCAACTTAATTGAAAATAATGATTTTTCCAAATCCGTGCCACTGATCCTTAACTAGAAGTGTTTTGTACTATTTACCTGGTGTGAACTTGTACTTTGTATATAATCACATTAGAGTTTCAATTATATCTGTACGTTAAAGTTAGGAATAGAATCAGAATATAGCACAAATCATGCTGCAGGAAGAAAATCCTTCAGTTTCCTTAGATGCCAACCTGAAAAGGTACACTTACCATTTTGTTTTCTACATAACCTTAGAAATGTACAACTGAGGCGCACTTTTAATGATTAAAAAATGAATAAAATCAGAAATGTTTAATTTTTTAACGTAAAAATTATTAAACTTAGTTTCAGAATCTGTTCATGAGTACACAGAATACAATGTGTACTCACTGTATGTCACACTTTGTATGTGCCAATGTCATACTTTCTTTTGTCTTTTCACAAAATATATAGAGAAAATTGAAATGCAAGAAGATCTGGGAGAAGTTCTTTCAGTAGATATACTTTTCCACAGAATGTTCTTTCAGGGGAAAGGGATGCCCTGCATTAGAAGTGTTAGTGCAGTTATTTCAAAAAAGTAAAGGAGAAAAATGGACTTGAACCACTCAAGCACCTGAAAAAAACTTTACTGTGGACCGTGGCTCTGCAGTACTTATTTAGATCACTACCTTCAATAAGTATCTCTAGAGAACACGAGTTAAGAATTCCCAATTAGCCACTCCTTGGAAAGACACTATCACTGACCCAAATCAATTCCCATGAAAAATTGTTTTAAAATTAAATGTGGAAGGAGATGGGATAGAACTACAACAGCGGGAAGTAGTTAGGAGTCTAAAGAAAAAGCGGGGGGCAAAGGAAGGAAGATTAATAGAGGAGTTTTAAGAATGATCTGGAAAAAAAACCCCAGATGACAACTATATAATCAATAATTCAGAGCTTCTGAAAAAAGTCTCTAGCGTCCTGTAAAGCACAAAAGCAGCATTGTGAATGCAACAAGCCTTTATACTGCATAGAAAGATTAGAAAGAAATCATACAAAATAACTCATAATACAAAAATTAAACCTGGGCTTGCACTACCACCTACTGGAGAAAGGCAGAGCTGCCGGATGGCAAGAGAAGAAAGCACAGTGTGTTTGCTCTATTATTAATTTCCGAAAACTCCCATGCCATACTACTATCTCTTAGTCACATTACCATAGCATCATGCACAGAAAGCAGCAGTAATACTCTCTCCCCTTCCTAATCTCTCCTTCACGCTTGTTCACACAGTTACTGAACCCAGCTGGGAACAGCTTCAAGGTAACCCAATGAAAAAGTTTTAACTGTAGGTCTTCGTTGTCTTCTTGCAAAGAGGAGGGAGAAGGCAGCAGAACGGGAAGAAAAGGCAGGACAGTGCTGCCAGGGATAACACTGGCTCATGCCAGCTTGATGTGGTGTTGAAACTTGAGATCAGTGGAGGCCACTTAGGGGTAACAGTATAGTATGACCAGCGGCATGGGACATTTTACGCAAACATGCATCTTCCACTGCTCCAAATTATTTCCAAATTTACCATGTCAACTAAAGCAGACAGAAGATCCTTTGTGGCATGCTATACACAGCTTCTCCTTTCAGCCACCATCACAGCAACAAACTCTGCAGCGTAACAAGCAACCAGCAGAAGTCAAGTAGATGCTTAGGCCCGTTTCCCAAGCCTTAGCACCAGCTACAGCAGCGAGGCTTTTGCACTTACATGTCCACATGCTCGGCAGTGATGCCTTCTCCTTGTCAGTGCATTAAAGGGCTCCTTGCATTTCATGCACATGGTTACTTCGTTGTCTCGTATCCACCTTGGTGCTCTCTTCCCAAGCTCAGCGTTCTGAAGCGGGGCAGGGAGAGGATAAGAGAATTTTAAAAAGCAACTATAAAAAGTTGCGCAGTAATTTAGACAGAGGAAATAATTATTCTCTTCCTCTAGAAAGGAAATGGCAAAACACAGCTCAAGCTGCATTTCAAAATCTATACAAGAAATAACAAAGAACTCAGTCAAAAATCATTATGCATCACTTAAAGGGTACTGTTAGGCATTTTAAGAAAAAAAGAGGCTCATTTATAAGATTTGGCATTATGAAGAAAAACAATTATCAACAAGAACACTACTTTGTAATTTCTCTGCTTTAAGAATGATGAGCTTGAAAACAAAGTTTCTGCCATTTTTTTTTCTGGTTTTGAAGAACAAAACTGTTACAAAGGAGTAACAGCAACTTACAGAAACCTCAACAGGCATATCTTCATATTCTTTAGCAATAGCATTTCTGAAAGTTTCATTCCTCTGCTGAAAAGCTTCTATAGTATTCTGAAGCGCCTAAAGGAAACAATAGAGAAATTCCTCAAACATATTACTTTTAAAACAGACTCTGCATTCTGACCAGTTATTGATCAGCAGAGGGAAGCTACAGCTAGAAAACATGAGTATTACTTTTTTGATTGCTTCAGTGAAAGTATTTAGAAAATAAAGGATGTAGATGAATTTACCTTTATCCATTCTTCCTTATCTTGTTCAGAACTAAAAGAAATATTTGACACATTAGACCAAAACTAGTTTAGGAAACATTATCTCACTATAAAAAACTTCTTGCAAAAGCCAAGCTTCTGAAGTAATTCTCAGGAAGTTTAAATTTAAACAATACCAACTGTCAAACTTAAAAATACAAAACAAAACAGAAAACAAAAGCATGACTTCAGGCTTCTCAACTTTGCAACAACTAAGCAGTGAATTCAAGTTGAAAGATAAATGTAAATGCATTTTAAAATAGTAATATTTTTAGTAATATAAAGCTATTAAAAGTCATACCAGATCAGCAACCTCTCAAAGAAATAATCTACCAGCTGTTTAAAAACAGTGATTGAAAGTTCTGAAAAATAAATAGAAACCTACTAGTAATGAAAAACCCAAGGGTAAACTAAACATTACAACACTGTTAATACAAGCTCATGAATTAAGGACATTATGGTATAGGGTACATACTCATGTATTAATCAATATTATTTTAATATAATGGAGTAAGATCTCATTTGGTACTTACTCCTTCACAATTCTGTATAGACTTAATGCATTCTAAAAATGTCTATAAAACAAAGCATGAAAACACATTCTTCTCACACCTTAAATAAACTAATGTAATATACTTTCAACTACTGGTAATATGGGAAAGTTAACAAAATAAGCCTACTTTGTTGTATCATTTTTCTTCCAATTAAAAAATGCTTCACAAATGTACATCAAGATGCCATCCTTTCACCATTGAAATGGGTATATGGCATAACAACTTGCCAAGTACTTAGCAAGATATTATACAGCAATTTATAGGAGATGTGACTAAGAGCCAAAAATGAGCCCCGGAAGTCCTGTGAACCTTAGTGGAAAGCTTTTTCCTGTCATTTCTCAAAGTATATCTTTAATTTCTAATTCAATTATAGTGTAGGTAAAATTCTATATGCTGTTATCTTTCTATAGTCACTGCTGTAACTCTCATTAAATATTACTAGTTGTTTTTTTTTCCATAAAGGAAAGTAGCTTGCAAGCTCATTTGCTAGCAAGCTGTGGTTTGTCCCCAAATACATGGTGTCAACACAGAAATGTACCCATCACAGACATCCTCCTGCTTATTTAATCCTCACCTCTCTGCAATGAAATCCTGACTGCTAAGAATAGGATCTTTAAGGAGATCCAAACGGAGAGGTGGAGCACCCTACTCTATTTGAAGTGGGGCAGTCTAGACAGGGAAGGATTTGTCGCGGCAATGCAAAAAGCAGCAATAGGATGGTAACCCAGAAAGGAGGATACAAGGACTAATAAGGAAAGCAGAAAAGTCCCAGTCAGAAGAGTGTGTCTAGAGGAAAAGGACGCAAGAACAAAAAGGAGAACTTGTCGTCCAGTGTAAGGTTGATACCTGGGACAGGAGAACAAGTAAACTAGAAACAGGTCTTAGGAATGGAGGAAAGTGGGTGCCCATCTACCACCGTAGAAAACTATGTTCTACTGGGATGGAAAGTTTTGTTGGGTGGACATGCCCTGAAGAGAACAAACTCCTTTGTACCAAGGTGGCTCAGGTACCAGAGGCAGTAGTCTGTTCACAGATTAACACAATGTCCCAAAGTCAGGCAGATTGCCTTTGCATCAGTTAGCTACGCTGCTTTCAGTTTTCCAGCCAGCCCATTCACGCATCTCTGCAAAGTGAGGCAACTGAAGATGCATCTTCTACTCCAAGAGATTCTTGGACAGACAATTTGTGACTTTTGGCAGCCTAGGTTATTTTCAAAACTCTAGCATTAAGATGAAGCCCATTGCCTCTTACTCCAAATCTAACTTCACTGTTGTGTATGTATATTTAATCCTCCAAAAATTCTTAGATAAAAAGACTTTGCTTACCTTGCCTGCAACTCCAGTGTTCGCTCTTTTCCAGACACTTGAAAAGTGTGTGGATATTCTTCATTATGAGTTTCTATAATCTTCATACCATCTATGCCAACTCTGTTTCGAACTGAGAACTTTGATCCAACCAAGCTGAATTTAGGCACGCAGTAGAGCAACATATTGTTAAACTGGAGAAAAAAAAGAAATGCATGGCTTTGCATTAACAAAAACACAGATACAGTCACATTTTCTACTGAGAACTGGACAATATAACAAAGCTGGACTTAACGGGTGAGAAAGCAGGTTCTTTCCTGCTCAGTTGACAGATGAGAAGACCAAAGGTCTAACGCAAGGCAACTTTTTATTCTTATTTGTTTATTTCTAATCAAAGGACAGCTTCAGTGGATGTAGGAATAATTGTTCTGCCTATGCAGCAGTCTTCATAGAATGTAGTATCAACTATACTCAGACTGGATGTTTTTTACCACTGTAAACTTTTTATTAGAAAAACCATTCTTATGTTCCAATTTTGCAAAACCTACTCTAAACTGCAGAATAAGAACTCTTTTCTTCAGTGTATAGATTTATATTTATCCTGTACCAAAACCATCTGGTTTTGTATAAGTTGTAACTGATTTTATTTAAGGACATTATTTGTCTTTTCTCCAAGACAGAACAGCTCTTGAGTTTTTATTCACTGAAACCCTCAATATCACAAGAGAAAAATAATACATGAGCAGGACAGAGATATATTCCTTTATTAAAGATAAGAATTTTAAATAATGTTGAAATGTCTAAAGCCTCAGCCTAGAAGCACAGTTATTAAATCAGATCTACAGTGTTTCATTTTCTCACATTTTTCCCCTCACATTTTTCTCAAAATTAATTATTTAACAGAGAAACTCACTTCAGTTAAATCCCAATTCACAGAAATCCTGTCTAGATTATTGCCTAGTCTGTATCACAGATACAGCACACTTGAACTTGTCACCCCTCATATGAAGTGCACATGATTTTAATCATCTGTGTAGCCCCATTTGAGATCTTACTATTCAATTTCTCCTTTTATTTGAAGCACAGATAAGCAGGAATTGTGCCTCAACAACTTGTTACTGATCTTTATTAACCAGAAGACGTGCAATGCCAGATGTTCATAAACAAAAACATATTAGCAATTTTTAAGGCATGGGAAGCAATGAACCACATCAAACCTTTTCCAAAGGAGTCGTGAGGGAGCATGGCTTTACATTGTTAGTTCCAAGACAGGACACAGACACCTGACAGGAGAATGACCTGCCACGATAACAAGCTCCCACAGGACCATGAGACTTATACTGGGAGCTCAACACAATCAATCAGGACTAAAATCCTAAGCTTTTACATTTCATTTTCATGAGAATGTCAAAGTGCTCATGCTCTAGGGCCTGCATTTATAATTGGCTACCGCTTGTTTATAAGTGAGTTGCTGGACACTAGTTTCATTTATTTAAAGTCATGTATTCTGTTCTAAAAGGTATTTTCAAGCCTTTTTGTAAGCGGTATATGCTCTAATATCACTAGTGGAAAGGCATTGACATGAACTAGAGATGATTGCCCTCTCTCTTTGGTAGTTCTTTCGAGTCTAGAAATGTATACAGCCACTCCTGCAAACAAAGGCCACCGTACTTACTAGGAAAAGATACCGTTCTTGAGCAGACGTATTGCGAGCAGCGAGTTTAAGGATCTGTCCTTCTTTTATCAGTTCATTTGAAGGGTTCACAATGTCTTCCTCTTCTCCCAGCATCTCATATATCTCTAACAATTTCTTTAGATTCTCCTTTACAGTGAAAATACAGTTATAAAACTCATTAATTAAAAATGCAGATCTTTAAGCATGTTTAAATGAAATGATGGGAGCTTGTCTAAGTCTGGAAAACATTAGCTTTGAAAAACATGTATTATATACCTGGTAGGTATAGTCAGCCATACAGACTGATTAACTTAGTTGATACAGTAGCAAGTACTTTTAGAAATGTTATCTCCATGTTAATTTTAAAAATGTAGTTATGCATACAGCCTGCATTATTTCTTGTCCAACATATCTCACATACTTAATGGTACTCATCACACCAGCCCAATATGGTAGAAAACCAGTAACTACTCCTTACAAACATTATCCTTCTACTGACAGAAACAGATGAAAAAAGGTTAAGAGTCCAGTGTAGTGTAAGCTATTTGAGCCAAGAGAGGAACCCAATCTGTCTCATTTTCCACTTAAGAGAATTAGATGCAATGCCAGATTTTGTCTGTCACTCCCAGATGTATAAATACATTAAGTAGGAGAAATCACTTGGACTCAGAAAATCCATTTTTGCTATTTTAGGGAAGATTTGCAATCTACACTCCTAGCTTCACCAAATATTCAAATAAAATATATTTAAAAGTGAACAGGAAAACAAGGATCAGTTACCATTTTTCTTATTGCACTATTGGAGTGACTTGCTGCAGTGGATATAATTTCCAGCGATTCTAGACAGCAGAAAAAGAAAAAAGTAAACCTAAAAAGCTGCATTTTTACATATTTATATATTACACAGAAAAAAAAAGTTTATTCCAAAAAATGGTTTGTCATTTTTAAGTGAGTTACACACTACCATAAATTTCTTAAATTATCAATAAAAAGTAACCAAGGTAAAGTGGAAAGCACAAGAAAGTCATCGACCAAATAGAAACTGTAATCTGGAAAGATTAGAAGGGAGTTTCTGCAGATTACTTTAGAGCTTCAGCACTTAGAATCACATTTTTTGTGACGTGAGCAGTCATGGATCTCTCCCCTCTTTTCTTAAAGTAGTCCAGAATGTCAAACTAGATTTTTCAGTTGAAACAGCTTATATTATAAATATTGACAGTAATGGTACTAAAAATGAAATATTTTTAAAAATTGTCTGCAAAGTAATTTAGAACAATCTGTGGAAATATCTTGAACTTTTTCTTGTGTAAAAACAAAGAGGAATAAATTTTAAAACTTGGCTGTTCTTTTTGCTACAAGAGCTTAAGAATACAATGAGTCTAACTCCATTTTTTTACAACTAAGAGACATACATTCCAAATGCGCATAAAGAGAACCAAAATGCCAACAAAAAAAATAGAAAAAAAGAAAACCTACCATAAACCCATATCATCTGCAAAGCAAATAAATCAAAATGTGTGTGCTAGTCCAAAACTAAAGCAAAATCTATGTGCTACAGGAGGAGAATACTAGAGGCTTTACAGTTTTTATATTAACTGCATCCACTATTCAAACAGTTTTTTCCAAAGAATCCTACAACTCCACTGAAGAAATTCTATCATTCTTTTTCAGAGGGACTTTGCTTCTTCACTTTATTTTTCCTGAAAAAATATTTAATTTCCAGTATCCTCTTGCTGATATCTTATTACAGCTCTTTTAATGGCTAGAAGATATTTACTTTCAGCATCTTTCCAGTCTAGAGAATCCTGAGGCAATTTCCTTAGGTAGTCCTTTAGAAGCATCTCGTAGCGTGGAATGCGTTGTACTGGTTCTAGCATGTGATGTTGCAATGTCAAATTTCCACACACTTTTTCCTTCTAAAAAATTGTAAACATATTTCAATGTAGTAAGCAAATATGTTATCGGGATACAGTAAAATAAAAGTTATGATTGATAAAACATGAATAATGTATTTTGAAACATGCATGATAGACATTCTGAAAGAAAATGGAACTACTTTACCAAACCAAATAACTAGAAATTCATTCCTAAAAATAAACAGGAAAAGAGTTTCCTAAGTAGCCAGAACTCACAAATAAAAGACCTACCAAAAAAACCTGCCAAATTCCAGTGTATTTTAACTTAGTTTTGTAGTAACTCAGACAAAAGAATTACAACTGAACTAATAAGAACAGTTCATGACCACACATTAGAAACAGTTCTTAAAAATATACCTCTATAGCCCATTTATCAACCTGAGAAGGGAGCACTCTTTGAGTTTCCTTCATCATGTAACACCCCTCAGAATTGTTTTAAAATGTGTATTAATTTCCATAATGTCAGATCCAATTAAAAGATTACATTAAATACACATAGTTGTCTTCTTCGTGGCTTAAAATCTCTAGATCCTATAGAGCAGGAAAAGGTAAGTAGAAATACCTTATCCTATCTGTAGCTGCTCTGTCTGCAGTAGGAAGACATGTATCTGCCAATTCACAGAGAAACCTACAGGGAGCACTAGAGGGTATAAAAAGCACCTTGGAAAAGGATGGTGCAATGCTTAACTATTAAGCTTTCTTTAGCTTTTGTGGCTCATCATTTAGGATTATATACTGGCTTCCAAAGCATAGTGCTCTGCTTAACAGCACTGGTGTGAGCCAACAGAGTACTTATGAATTCAGTGCAAGGATCTGCAGTTGCACTGATAGGTCACGTTATCCTAAAACAGTATTTGCTTTTAGTATCTACAACAACAAAATGTAGTACTTTTTTTACTAATCTTCCCATGTTTCAGCCTTTCTACTTTGGTCCTCTGTGTTGCACTGGAAAGACTGGATTTGTGTGGGAGTTTTTGCACATGCAAAGAGAAGAAAAGAAGACACAGAATGCGCTGTGAAGCAGATAAAAACAACCCTTAATTCTAAGGAATTTGGTATTTAATTTTATCTTTTTTCATTTTTTTCACCCACAAATATATATATTTTTATATATGCTTTTATTACTTGGCTATCTACATTATTCTCTCCATTACCTGAATGTCTTGAATAATAAATTTGAATTGAGGTGACCGTTCAGTCCACGTTTTCACCAATTCCATGGCATTATCAAAATTCTTCACATACTCTCCGTACATCTTGAGGAAAGGAGCTAACTTTTGCAGAATATCTCCAATTCTGGGGGTGGTAGTCCTGCAAAGTAAAAGGGTGTAATCTCAGAGCAAACAGGAAAGAAAAAAAGTCACAAAAGGTTACAGAACTGTTTCAGGCTTTTAATAGAGAATCCTCTATTTGGGATCACCTCAGAGAGAGTTCCAACATAACCATTAAAACTGACCTGAGTTAACTTGCAAAGATTGTATCCTCTTTGATCATGTGTAAGCATGATAGGCCATGCAGAGCACTAAAGAGAGAAAAGCTGTCTATAATGAACAATTTGAAAGGCTTTGTTTACAAAACATGACCTAATTTATTTTATTTGCAGTTCCTTAAAACTACATTATCTTCTTTTGAGCATATTTTACCCTCTAAATATCTAACCTGTGGTTTTGTTTGAGGCTTAAATCCATACTGTACAATTTCCCTTTTGTGCCTTTTATTTACAACTTCTAAAAATCATTCTTTATCTAAGCAAACCTATGAAATAGAGACACTCCCTTGGATTCCAGTCCTCAGTGATAACGTTCCCACATCTTTCCCAATTATTGGTGGCATCTTCAAATAAAACAGATTAGTAAAGAAACTGATGGAGAGGCAGAGAGAAGCTGCACTCTCAACACACACAAAGAAAGCGGAACACCACACGTGTATCTCCAAGAGCTACAATAGGAAACACACTTCACATTTCATTTTCAAGGACAGACTCAGAAACTCAGTATCTCCAGATTTCTTAAAGCCCAAAATTAATGTTGTGGTAAGTGGGCTAAAGTGAAGCAATCTACTGCAATTACTTAAGTAGTCTTCTCTAGCACACCACTTCTCCAAGAGAAAAGCTGTGCAGAAGAGAGAAGTTACTTGAATAACGAATATTGCCAGGACTAGCAAAGGCTGGTCCAGCTCCAGCTCCCTTCTTGAGAGGCAGAAGGAACCAGTGTATGACCTGGCAGAGGTCTGAGCTTCTGCTGGGCCTGGCAACTGAAGAAGGGGACAAGATAGGGTGGGAAGTTGCTCTCTGAAATCACAATGGCTCTCTACCCTCAATTAGCTTCAAGTATTTGTTCAACCACTCTACATGCAACCAGACAGACACACAGTCAAAGGCAAGCTAGCGATTTAAAACAAAAACTCTTCTCCTTTGGTTCACTGAATGCTATTTATTTCCCTGGGTTGTCTTTTTATCACAATGCAGCATATTTTTAAACTGAAAATAAAATATAAATCATGCCAATTCCAACAGAACCGAAGAAAATGTGAGTATTTCTAAAGGTCACCAGAAAAAAAACCAAACCACCATCATTGAAGTTTTCTGATAAATTTAGAATACAAGTAATTATAAAATTTTGTTATTAAAATACAGGCAGAAAAGACTGTGGCAATCCTTCGTATCTAAAGAAGCTGGCATAAAAAGAGAATATTTCTGCTTAACTGTTTCACAACTATTATTAGACAGACGTTAGAAGAAAATGTTAAAACTTTCATAAGCCAAAAAGTAGAAACAGTTTGTTACATCCGCTCGTCGGATACCCACAGCAGCTCATTTACACAGAGCACTGCAATTTCACCACCTCAGAAGATAAAAAAAACCCCACAACTACTTTTCATGCAAGGTTCTTATATGTCCAAAGACTGAGGCTGTAAAAACACAAATACATCATCATTTCAGGCAAGAAAGACAAGGTCCATTGTGGAGTGCTGGCTCTCCCAGCACGGCCATGATCTTGTGGATGTGATCAACCCTCAGTGCAAATAAGGTTCTTCTGCAACTTTAAGGAAGATAAGAGCCGGACTTTCTAACCGCAAGTAGGCGTACCGTCCATATGTCAGGACGCATGGACAGCAACCAATTAGCTATATGTATTCGCTGCGTGCTTTGCTCGTGACTATCTCGTGACTAAAACCGAGATTATAAAAGCTGTGTAACTCTGCTTAATAAAGGAGAACGACCATACTCATATTGAAAATACCTCGTTACTCCGGGTATCACAGAATCACAGAATCACAGAATGTTAGGGATTGGAAGGGACCTCAAAAGATCATCTAGTCCAATCCCCCTGCCGGAGCAGGAACGCCTAGATGAGGTTGCACAGGAAGGCGTCCAGGCGGGTTTTGAATGTCTCCAGAGAAGGAGACTCCACAACCTCTCTGGGCAGCCTGTTCCAGTGCTCTGTCACCCTCACTGAGAAGAAGTTTCTTCTCAAATTTAAGTGGAACCTCCTGTGTTCCAGCTTGTGCCCATTACCCCTTGTCCTATCATTGTTTGTCACTGAGAAGAGCCTGGCTCCATCCTCGTGACACTCACCCTTTAAATATTTATAAACATGAATGAGGTCTCCCCTCAGTCTCCTCTTCTGCAAACTAAAGAGACCCAGCTGCCTCAGCCATTCCTTATAAGGGAGATGCTCCACTCCCTTAATCATCTTTGTAGCCCTACGCTGGACTCTCTCCAGCAGTTCCCTGTCCTTCTTGAACTGAGGGACCCAGAACTGGACACAATATTCCAGATGCGGTCCTACTCCCACTCCCAACAGTCCATGTCACACAGATAGCTCTGAAAGAATAGGAAGGATAGGAAGGTCACAGAAAGAAGAACCTTCTGAAAGCAGCATCCTCCTCTCTTGATGGACTTACAAGTATAGATAACTACTTCATCTCGTATTCAAACACCACATACTACAAGCAGAAATATGAAATTCTACTAAATGCCATCAGGTCGAAGTCAGTTACTGTTCTTTTGGAGAGAGAGACCAGAAAGAGAACTATTACCCAAGTCAGCACGGCACTACTGCCGGACAACAAAGATAGCATCATTACATGGGTCAGGAGATAGGACTTCACATTGTAACACAGGTACAGAAACACTTTTGTGTGTCTGTGTTATCAGACCATGATGGTAATCCTGTTTGCATTCTGAAAACTCAAACACGAAATAACTCACTTACTAATCGTGATGTGTAGCATCTCATTTAGAACTGTCATGGCTGCAAGAAAGCTAAGCAAAGGTTTGTAAAATCACAGCACAGTAAAGGTTACTACAGAACGACTGCTTTCTCTTCCAATATTCAAGCTAACAGGCATCCAACAAAATTGAAAATTTGATGTGGGATCACTGTTATGCTCTTTTCACAGGAAATCTATTGCAACAAGGCTGTTTCCAGTGTTTTCAATCCGTATGTTTGTAAGAGACATTCAGTTGCTCAACTCATTCAAAATACAACTACCAGACCATTTCATTTCCACTTGATAAGCTTAGACTCACACTGTCTTTTCTTCTAAGAAAGAAAAATGTGCTTCTGATTTGCTTTCCCAGTTTCAAAAACTATGTTTTTTTACCTTAAGTTTGCAAAACAAACCATAACTCAGGGCAAGTGTCAGACATTTTTATCCAGCTATTTTTATTGGAAGCTAAAGAACAATAGATGAAGAGCATAACCCTACCAACAGAACATACTTAAGCATTTTCTGTGTCCAATTAAGGGAACTGCTGAGGAAAATGAACACTCCGTCTGGCAGAAGCTGCTGTTTGAGAGACTGGTGATGGGGAGAGAAAATGATCCCTGACTTTTCTTTCAGCAATAACCAGAAATTGTTCACTTCAACTGCACCCTTTCTTCTAACTCCTCCCAAGAGCATAATGTTCTAAGGACACTTAAACAGGCTGTCTCAGGTACAGCACAGAGGTTCTTTTCAAGTAATGTGGGAAAGATAACATGCTTATAATGCAATTTATTAGTTTTGCACTAATACTCAAAGCTCATCTGCAAAAGCACTTTTCAACCTTTGAAGCTATGTAGTTATACACAAACTTCTAGCATGCAATTTAGGAATTTGCAAATATGCAAGGCAGTGCAACCCATCTTCTGTGCTCTATAAAGCATTCTGAGCAAAATTTTAAGAGTACATCACAAATTCCATTTCAAATACATACACAGCACTTAATGTAGTGCAAGCAGCTTTTTGAACATCATTGGACTAAACTCCACCTCTCATGAATATGCACTCTATTTTAATTCATGCATTCATGATTTCCTATCAGACTTCTTCAACAGATCAGAAGAAAAGGGTGGATTTACCTTACATGTTCATTTCGCAAGGAACAGAAGTTAAGGTATAAACTTTTTGGTTTGGTGTTTGGTTCCCCCCCCTCCCCCGCAGAATAACATGAGAGACCAAAAATACATGGCTATATTTTAATAGTAGAATAGTGTGCACCAAGGCAGGAGAAAGACACTACAATAGTACATAATTATTACAGAGTATATTTACACTTAGGCTATCCTTCTTGCTTGCTCCAAGTAGAGGTGCTGTCAAGAAAAGCTTAGGAAAAGATGTCCCCAGAACATTCCTGATCTGGATGCAGATTTCAAATAAAAAACCCAAACACAGGAAAACAAAAACATACCCCACCTTATTACAGAAAGCAGTAATTGCAAAGCCAAAACACATACATGTTATTTATCTCATCTGTTTTGTATTCTGTGCAATGAATTTGTTAGGTAGCATAATTTCAGTCTGAACTTCTAATTCAGCAAGGCATTTAATCATGAGTAATCTCACTGGCTTCAGTGAGATACATGTCCTTTATTTTGAGCAAATGATGCAAGTCCTCTGCTGAGTCAGATCATGATGAAGAGTGGAAGAGCAGATGTTCTCCTACCCACAGCACTTTCTGGGCCTGGAGCACTTAATTATGAAGATACCTTCCCTACCTCAATCCTATGACAGTTTCTACAGATACGGTTTTAGTAGTATGTTAACCAGTGAATTGCCTCTTACCATTCTTGCATTCTTTTCTCAAGTTCTGGAAGTAAGAATTTACTGTGGAAGGCATTTATCGATGAAATGTTTGAAAATATTTTGTTTATCACTTCAGCTGGAAATGAACCTCTGTTGGCTTCCTCAAGGAGTCTGGAATAGAATACCTACAACACACAAAAAAAAAGAGCACCCCAATCCTATCAGCCTATTATCTTTAATCACTGGAAGACCATCTATCCACCCCTCACACTCCAACTGAGGCAAGATCAACATCTCAATATTTAGACAGGTAACAACAAATGCATTTATTGTCTTTCACTCACCAGAATTTAAAAGCTTCTCCTCCCCTTACACCCCACTTTTTTTCTTGTGAGCCAGGAAAGCGGTGCAGGCATAGCAGACACAAGGAAAGCCAAACTGAAGTAGTGCCATTTTGGATCAGCTCCAGGCATCCTGTCTGTTTTAACAGCTAGATCATCTCAGCTTTCCCAGTCTTTCAGTTGTATTTTCCACTCCTGCTTTCTTTTCAATCAGCATGATGTCTGATCATCATCAGCCCAACCACTCTCCTTGTGTGCCCTTGTCCCTTTATCCTTTTGAAATCAAAGTAGTCGGCAGACTATGAGTGGTCTCCACATACTGCACAAAAAGGGCCCAGTTCTGACTAGGCTTTGTATTTTTTTTAAAGAGATTATAGTAATCTTTCCCCATCAGTGGGCTCTACCTGACTAGACACAGTTACAAAATGGCTAGAGACCTGTGCAGCTGTTACTGTGTACATCCATTAAAAAATGCTTATGAGGAGCTATAGTCTCTCTACCTCCCTCTCTCATGTTTGAACAGACCGCATCTCCCTAGGAAGGGCTTCAGAAATTTGGGCAAGGGCTTGAGGAAGAAGAAAAGAGTCCAAATACAGGAACTTTGATAATCCCAACTGGGACAGCAAAAATGTCTTAAAAGGAAAAAAGCCATACACTTCAAGACATGCTCACTTTGCTGCATCTCCGAGAGGGCAGCTAGTTAGTTTTGACAAGTTACTTTGAAGACGATAAAGGTTATATAAATTTCTAACCAAGTTTAGAAACATAACAGTCCCTTCCCAGTCTTTTGCTTTCCTCTCATTAGCAGCAGCTGAGCAGCTGTGCTTGAAACTAATTTTTCAGAACTCTGTCCAGTTAATATTTGGAAAACAGGCACAGAAGAAATGCACTTATGATCACATCAAGAAAAATAATTGTACATTATCCATCAGAAAAACTTACGAATTAAGTAAATATTTTCCTTTCTTATTTTTAAACTTCTCTAAAGCAAAGCTCTTTTTTTTTCTGCAATACTTTATCTTTTAAAACACACCATATATTCATCCCAATGTGGGTCTGCTAGGTAAATACACTTTCATGAGGAAAATTACTTAGATCCCCAAGAAGCCTGAACGAATATCGTACCAGCTAAGACTTTTTATTTTCATCAACTGTTTTCATAAGGCATATGCCTTATGAAATTTTAAACAGCGATGTCAGAAAATTATGGAATAAAACAATGCAAAGCTATAGGTATCCAGGTAAAATGAATGTAAGAGTTATGTGAGAAGGTAAACAAGGCTTAAAAAGGAAATACTCAAGAACTACAGACTTTCACATGTAAGAATACCAGTTTGATTCTACAGAGCACAAGAATTCAGCCTTGCAAGAAGAGTAATTTCTGTTCACTTCAACAGGATTTAGTCTAAACGTATAGCAGGAAAATAGGGGATACGGTTTAGAAGTCGGGAATCAGTTTAGAATGGGCATCTTCTTAGGTTCTATAGAAATAAAGAAAAATTCTGATCAGATGGCTAAAATGTGAAAGATTTAGGTAATTTTCTACTGGGTGGGTGATTTGAGTATTATAAAACCCTTTCTCATTTCACCAGAAGCCAAGAAATGGTTATTCATCCTCTCTGTGGAAGGGCTACCAGTATGCACTACTGATCATGGTGACATCTCTACACACAGAACATATTGCATTAATATCCACAAAATTCTAATACTTTAAAAAAATGTAGTGCTCTCAAAATTGAAACACAGGCAAAGTGACACGGCAAGCGCAAAAGTCTGACTGCAAAACTCAGCAAAATGTGAAAAACATACCGCACCTCCCATGTAATTTATATACACAAGTATGCATAGCCATTCAGGTGAATTCAAGCCAAGACCATAAAAACAAGTTCAAGAAAACTGTACCCCATCTAGGAGGTCAAGTCTGCTAACGTAGGCTTTTTCTGTTTGCAGAAGTTCACTGGCAATTTTGTGACGTTTCTGTTCATCTGTCTCCTGGAGGAAAATAAGAAGAGCTCTTAGGATATTGCAGGAAACATAATTTAATACTAAAAAAAGCTGAAAAGACGTATGATTACCTTATAGCCCAAAATGTAATGAAAATCCAAGTTTCACATGTAGTAATAGATACTCCATTTTGAAAAATACAAATTTTCCAGCAGTTTAATCCACAAATACAAAAGTCAAAGGAGGATAAAAATCAGTCAAACTGTGGAGCAAAACTCAAAGCCTAAAACATTTAATATTTCCCAGTTTATGTAAGGATCTTTGCCAAAGCACCAACTCCCTGTTTCACAGATCAGCTCACATCCTGGTAATCGAGTACCACTGACCTTTCAGAGCTGGAAGAACTGATGTACAGAGTAAGAGGGAACAGATGGGATTAGTTGGTGTTCGCCCCCATTTCGAAAGTTATTTGGACTGCACGTTCTTTGCATGACAGAACCACTGAAAAATACTGTACAAAATGTTTTATGTTCATCCATACACTCATTGCTGATTAACTGTTGACTGCAATTAGAGAGCTCCTTTGCTAGGTCTTTAAGGAACTCACTTTCGTATCTTAAGGGAAGTTGTATTGTTGGATTCTTATATTGTTGGATATTGGATTCTTCTACTGAACAGAAACTTAAAACATTCATTCAAACTTTAATATTAAACTAAATGTTAGAATATAAAATTATGAGTTGCTATGAGAAGTTACTTCAAAACAAAGAAAGAAAGGACAGACTTCTACAATACTGAAACACTGGGGAAATGCCTCAGGCTCAGAAGTGGCAGATTCAACAAAGTGACACATTAAAATATTTTTCTTCCAGATCTAGTGCTAGCATGAAAAAGCATTCACATCTATCAACAACCGAGTCTCTCCTAAGTAAATGGGAGTCTTATCACTGTGCTTATGAGAAAGCAGTAATTTTCTGGGCAAACCATGGAAAGACTTCATAAAAAAAATAAAGAGGAGAGCTTGAAAGAGTTATTTCTGATTTCAAACCACACACTGCTTTCCACAAGAGTACGACAAACATTTGCAAGTACATTTATAGTTTGCAGAATACTGAATACTGAAGTACAGTCTTTTCATTTAAAGGACTTCAGTGGCTTTTTTCCTTTTTTCAGTATTCAGTAAGTATTCCAAATTTGAACACATTTCAATTCTAATCTGCAGTGTTAACAGTCACATTGCTATATGGCAAGCCTCCTCCCTAAATACAGGCTTTCAATAATGACTTCAAAGTTGTTCATTAAATCTGTTTAAATCAGCATAGCAACCACAGTAACATACAGAACAGCATTTTAAGTGCTGTCAAGAGACATTGCAGGGAGCTGGAGGATTAGCTATTACAGCTACAGCACGCTGTTTAGTGCAGCCATTTATAAGGAATATCACATGTGGACTTCAGGCACAAAACCATGGAGGCTGCTGGTTCCTTGGCAATTTTATTTTGGTTGGTTTTTTCCTCTCCCCCAAATTCCACTTTCTCCCTGAAGTGCTGCTATAGAACGAATCCACAGTTTTCAGAAGATTATTTGGACTAATTAAGAGAAGGAAAAATAACACACAGCAGACTCAAAAATATCACACAAAATGAGCAATTAAAAAAAAAGCCTTTAATCCACATGCTTAAATCAGGGCAAATCCCTCTTACTCTCCCACTACACTCAGACCTAGCCTTTCAGTATCAACCTTGCACATCTTCCTAATACCTGAACCTCACTCACCTTTCTACATCAACCACACTACCTGACTCAGGAATCTTCTATGTGGGGAAAAGATACCACGGAGTAGTTATATTTTAATCACAGTGGCATGTTCTTATTCCAGCATAAGAATACCCACCTATAGGATTATATCAGTCCAAGAATAAAATTTTATCACTAGTTTTCTTGTAGGGAAGTCTCAGTTTCTCACCTCACAATCTCAGTATTTGCCCACAAGTTACATGAACACCCAGCTGTGTTTTTGAATACTACCTCCATCCTCCTCACTACTCATTCACCCGCTTCAGTGTCTTATTTAGCATCCCATCCAAAGAAATGCACTTGGTTTCCACAAGGTCACTCCAGCTTCCTTCCTGTTGGAAACAACAGATCATAGGCTATTTTGCTGGTCTTGGCATTCGTCTCCCTAGGAGCTTTTCTTGAAGGAAGTGGCAGCCACTTATCCTAAGCACATGGAGTGAACTGGGACCAGATGCATGGGTGGACACATGGGTCCTGGCAGCAATGTATATATTGAGTTTTCTGTGAGGGGTTTTTAGTTGTCTTTGGCAACAGGGGAAGGGCTATGGAGATAGCCCTTTAAGAAGCTACCAGAAAAGCTCCCCCTTTTCCTTTGTCAGACCCATCTCTGACCAGGGCCAAGCCAATCAGTGCCCCTGCGAATTCGCGTATTTAAGGGGGGTGCAGGGCATGCTCTCTCTCTCTCTGGCCCTGGCCCCGCCCTACCTGGCCAGGCTGGGCTTGCCCGACCCCAACTTAAGCTTAAGCCCCCCCTGCAGCTCCAGCCCGAAAAAGAGAGAGTGCCAGGAACTCTTCAAGACCATCAAAAGAGACCTGCAGCAGAGAAAGGAGTGGGGCCTGAGGAGAACAACTTTGAAGAACACCAAAATCGGTTGAAGGAAAGAAAGGAGAGGGGGTAGGAGGAGGATGCAGAGCCCAGGTTCCCCTTTTGCAACTCATGGCGAGAGCCGGGTCGATTGCCTGCAGCCCATAGAAGCTTACCAGTGGGACAGGGCCACCTGAGCAGTGGCTGTCCCTGAAGAAGCTGTGACTCCAGGCAGTGTGTGCTGGAGCAGTTCATGTGTGAGGGAACTGAGACTGTGGGCAGACCCAGATTGGAGCTTTGTGGACTTGGACTGAAGCAGTTTTGTGTGCATGAAGGAAACTGCAGCTGTGGGCAGACCCGTATTGGACTTTTGAGGACTTTTTCCCCTATGGAAAGGGGGCCACGTGGAAGCAGAGGGAGAGAGTGGGCGGAGTTCTCCTACTCCTGAGGAGCACATGGTGCAAAACCAACTGCAACCCCCACTCCCATCCCCCTGCACCTCAAGGCAAAGGTGGGGGTAAGGGGAGGTGAAGAAACCAGGAACAAAAGCTGAGCCCAGGAAGAAGGGAGGGGTGGGGGAAAGGTGTTTTGACTTTAAGATCTGGTTGTATCTCCCGTTGTTCTACTCTGATGTTGGTAACAAATTAAAATTGCTTTGTTTTTTTATTTCTTATGACGAGTCTGTCTTTTGCCTGTGATCTGTTTAAGTGGTGAGAAGCCCTCCCAGTCCTTATTTTGACTAGCCCTTTTTTGAGGCATCATGGTGCTCAGTTATGCACTGGGCCTAAACCATGACAATGTGCTACACCACAGGGCACATTTGGTGGACTCAACATTGTGTGAGGTTGGTGTTGCAGCTGGTGTATATGTGAGTGTATAAATATATAAATATTTATTTCCTGCTTTCAGGGAATCCATTCACAGCCATCCCAGCTCTGCCAATGCACACACCACACTGCTTTTCACCTTTACCCTCAGCTGCCCACCCAACCTTCCTTGAAGCCAGCACACAGGGAGTGGCCATACGATGGGCCCAGAGCAGGCAGACCCTGAGAAGGTGCTCAGGTTCTGCAGACCTGAACTTGGCCAGTCCAAGAAGCAGGAAGCAAATCTTACAACATAATTTGGAAATAAATCCTGAGTTATGTTTGTGACAGTGAAAATTACACGGAGTGATGTGTTATTGGAGCTGTTCAACAAAACAGCCTTGAAAATCCCTGTAGAAATAATGGAGGAAAATTCTTAAAAGAAAAGGCTTTAAAAAACATGGAAAACATGAAGTTGGTATTCAACTTCTGAGAACGTAAATGCTTTCCTGAAGAACTACTTTAACAGATCTGTAAAAAACTACTGTATCAAATCTAATCATTAACAATAAAAGGGAATTTTAATTCTCATTTAAATTACAAGTTAAACTTTATCTTAACGTGATATAACCATAAATGCACACATCTCTCTTCACATGTAGGATAATAAGATAGTAGAAATGAAAGTTATACCTTTTTTTTTTTCCTAGAAAACTTTTGTATTTCCTTCCTATGATTTCTTTATGCTTTTAGTACATCAGTATTTATACTGGGCTCCTTACTGTTAACAAAAAACACTGTGAAAAAAAATTTACTACAGGGTATACCTGGACACATATTCTATCACTTCAAGCACAACTTCTCCATGATTTCAGGGAACACTTCAAACTTCTATGACAATCCATAACATATGACAACTCAATATATAAAGCCAAGCAGAAATGGTTAGTGCGACATATAGAGAACATTCACATTAGATAGAGGTACATGATTTTAACTGCTGATCAAAATATCAGAATTGTGAGATAGCAGTAGGTGCACCAGTCAGGACTGCAAACTTGTATGTCCGTATGGATGCTTACAGTAAGAATTTCACCTGGGTTGAGTGATATATTCTTTAGTACAAAGTTGCACATCTTAGAATTATTACATTATTATGGATATTTAAGAAATTAAAACAAGTAATTTTGATCTAAATTGTTATTGAACTCTGAAATTAAGAAGAGGTGTGAAAAATGCTGCTGAGAGTATGAACTTTTTGCATCTGTGTTCATACTTCCTAACATTGCTTTTCCATTGTTCTAAACTTGCAAAAACTAGCAGCCTTTACATAAACCTAAATTCCAATATAGCCATAACTTATTATCCAAACCAAACAGAAGCCATCTCCTATCAAGAAAACTATACGTACTGACATGATAGTGATGCTGTATATAATTCACTCCTATTTATGTGTAACCCTCACCCCAAGGGCTTTACAGTAATATATGAAGAAACAGGGTGAAAGATGTAGAGTATGAACAAATACCATTCAATCTATGTTGTGCTTGTTTGTAATGCTGTGTTCTGTCTAAGGTAAGAACGAGTTTTTCTTTTCTAAAACCATTCATGTCATAGCTGATTCATGATCCAAAGCCTTCATCCCTAAGTCTCAGGAATATAAATGTAAATTTCCAGGAGAATTTAAGATCTCCTTTAATCTATTTACTCTTTAGTTTCTGAAATCAAGCAAAGCACTAAATTTTGCAACATGTGCAATGAAAATCCTGAATGCTACCATCACCTTCTGGCATATTAACTGTATACAACAGCCCTTTGCACAAATGATGGGCGAGTTTCTTGCACAGCAACCAAGAAAAGCATTAAAGATCCTGGTATCCCTAAAGAGGTGATTCTTCTCAAGAGGGTTTATGCATTTATAGGGTACTAAAGATCTACAGCTTTGTTCATGATTTACTGTTGCTTCAGAATACCATAAAATTGTAGAACCTCCCAAGTGTTGCAGCAATGAAGCATTTATTGGCAAGGTTAACTTAGCCACAAAGTTTCACCCTATGTAAAGCAAAACTTCACCTTGCATTTAGAAATATATGCTCTCCACAGGGTTTTGCATCTGAAACACCAGAGTCCCTAATATTGCCATTAAAAGAAGACATCAAGTAAGGACTTCAATAAAGGTGCATAATGGATTCCTCTTAATCTGTGGCATGTATGCAGTCTATATCCCTCTTTCTTACCAGTCTCACAACACATATTGAAGCATTTGTCTTCAGTTCACTCTAGCAGCAGATTTCTCACAAGATGTTATTCCGGAAGCTAATTGATTGAGATGTTCTTGTACTGTTCAGCCTCCGCATTTCAGGCAAACCAAATTTTATGACAGAAGGTGCTTCTGTTGCAAGGCAGAAAACTTCTCACTTTTAATGGTCTTTTTGCTTGTGATATTTGGTGTTTGTGACTTTCAAATTGATTCCATAAGTGCAACAAAGTATACTCTACTCTGGTAATTTAGGGAAAATGTTTCAGAGCAGCGGCAAATTTAGTAAGTTCTGTCTCAACTTTTTCAGAACCTTCAATAATCTGATTTTACTCAGAACTACAGTGATTAGGGGAAAAAAATAATAGTAAAAGAAACAGTATTTCAAAATATTCTTTATTTTCCAAGTCTAAAAAGTAAATTCTGCTCGAGTGTTGTATCATTAACAAATTTAATTCACCCTTTCTAGCAGTGGACTTAGTTTACTTCTGCTGTACATGTATGCATTTACAAAGAGAGAGCACCACTTTTTTCTCTTCCTTGAATTAGGAAATATGGCATGCAAGAGACAAAGAAGATACTTTTCATCAGTATCAAATATATATGTATCATAATTTAAAGCTTCTCTATGACTCACACGCATCTGCTTCTATTGCTTTTACTTGCCTAATTAAAAAGGGCAGAAGAGTGCTGATAGTGCAGTGCAACTTCAACTGGACTGCATCCCAGTTTCAAGACTCTTTACTGACTAAGTGGGCGCTTAGAAAAATCACAGACGGTCTCAGTGCTCTTCTTCCCAGTGCTGCTTGGACACAGAAGCATCTTAAAGTGCTATCAGACCTCTCCTGTTCCTCACCAATGTCCCCCTGCTCCAGACAGCATGGCAGCAGCTGCCTAGGCCTCCACAGGGCTGATTTCAATCTATAGGTTGCATTAGTCCAAACTAAATCAGCATGTGATTTTGTAAAGCATGGCCCTTAAATCAGTCTGTGGTAGACATGCTTCCTGATCTCACCAGACTAAAGGGGATGTCCTTGTATCACAAGCGATCTGGTGTCTGAGGAAGTGCTGCTGTGACCCAGCTCAGTTTTACAGATTCAGTTCTCCACTGATGCTGTCTAAAAAGTTACCATGCGTAGGTTTAGTTTGTTTTGGCTTTTTACCCTTCTAGTACTAGCAAACACCACATCTAGTAACAGTTATGTCACACCTCACAATTTGATTCTTGCTTAACTCAGGGCAGATCATGTGTGTTGGTTCCAGCAGCTCAAAGACAGATTTTGTTGAGATTGCTGCCATTAACATTTGCCCACTTCCTTCCTGGACTTTACAACAGGACTGCCTCCTATTTCTGCTTTTTCCTGAAAATGCTGCCAGCACCTTACTGCATGACTTGGATTCAAGCTTAACATCATTGCCTACAGAGCATTCAGCACTTTATTGGCACAGAGAGGGGAAACAGGCATTACCGAACAGGAGACAGAAACATAATGAGAGGAGTGGCAGGTTAAAGGTGCCTTGGACCATGACCAGGCTTATGTTTAGATGGGAATCGTAACGTTCATTTCATTACTGGCAAAACCAAACCCCTCAAACAAGAAAACTCACACAACCCAGCATATTCTAGTCATTACCTAGGATATTTTATCCTATAATACATCAGAATGTGAGACCCACCTTTCCCACATACAGAACTTATCCTCAAGTGTGTACATATAGGACCCCTAGCTAACCAAACTCAAGGGCTCAGAGAAGTCTGTAGTTAGTGGTGAAGGTCTGCTCCTGACAAGCAGTGATGAGTTTTATCAGGCCTCAGCTTTTTGGCTCTGTGGTGAAGAAGAAGGCTGAGAGGGTCCAGCCCAGCTTCCTCTGCCATGGCTCACACATCACACAGCTGGACCACAGAATCACAGAACGTTAGAGATTGGAAGGTACCTCAAAAGATCATCTAGTCCAATCCCCCTGCCGGAGCAGGAACACCTAGATGAGGTTACACAGGAAGGTGTCCAGGCGACCAGAACTGTTAAAGATGTTTACTGGCCACCAATGTGTCAGTAAGAGAAGGCAAGCTGCATAATCAAACTTTTAGAAGTGGAAATATGCACAATTTTTTCAGCAATTAATTTCTCAAGGCAGATTTTTTTTCCACTCTCTTTTTTCCCTTAATTATTTAAAACCTTCCTTATGCGGAAGCTCAAATTCATCATGTTATAAGTTCTTGCTTACAAGGCATATATTTAGTATACTCTGAACCTTGCATCTGTCTGGCAGCTAGCAGACTGCCACTGCTTTTCCAGCTTTGACTTGACAACTACATCCAAGTTAAAGATTCACATGACAGTTATGCCTGAAGCCCTGTTGCTGCAGTTCACTACATGTGGAATTTTGTTTTATATACACCATTAACACATGTCCCTTGTGGTCTGGCACAGCTGAAACATAGTGCTAAACACATGCATGTATTTCAGTTGCACCTTTTTTTTTTTTTTTTTAAACACAGATAGCTAATGCAAAAGAGGAAAGGGGGATGTGGCAAAGGGGGAAAGGAAGCAAAATTTTTTTCCTGGTCTTATTTTCAGAAGAAAAATAAACAAAATATTTTCAGCTATCTAATCTGCTTTTAGAAGCTTATTTTTGTAAATAGAAACCTAGAAAGAACTATTAAAGTAGTAATATTGCAAGAAAAAAAACAATTTTTCTTTACCTTTGTTTCTACAGGTAGATCTTGCTTACTGATTTCCTCAGTTGGTTCTTCTTCCACATTGGTATTAATTTCTAGAGCTTCATTATCAGATGGGAGAAGCGTATCGCTGCTTGGCGTCCTGTAGCAACTGTTAAGCACCTGTCCTTCACAAGAAGTCATACTTTGCAATGACTCTCTGGAAGTACTTTCTCTTTCCCCATTTATCAAGCTGCTGTTGATGGCATTATCCAGAACCAAGGTGGACATAGCAGAGCCACAATGTGGTAATCTCCTGTCCTCATCTTCCATCTGGTTTTGTGCTACTACTCCATTGGCTGTGTGTAATTGTGCAACCTGAGTTTTGTCGGTATTACTGTTTCCCTGTTTTTGTAGTGGGTGCTGGGATGGGAGTTTTGGCTGAGGTGATGGTGTTGATCCATATCTTCCTTGAGATTTAGAAATGTGGAGAACAGAGGAATCTTTCTTCAAATCACTAGGATTTAATGAGCTAAAAACACCAAACAAAGAAAACAGATGTGAGAAAGGTTAAACACAGCATTAGAGAATACCCGTGGTATGGGGAGCAGGAGAGTTGCACCATATATCCAATTCCTTCCAAACCACTTTTTCTTGTGTTAGTATTAGAACTTTCAGGCCGTCAAGATTTGAACTGCACTATTCCATTAAAACACACACAAACATGCATCTCTTATACGCTGTCCATATTGATCCATTACAGCTTCATGTGTCTTGAATCTAATTTGTAAAATGACAGGCAGTATGATCATGACACGCAACAGAGAAGGGAACTGAGGCACTGACACAAGAAGAAACTTGCCCAAAGTGTCCCAGCAAATTATTGGCAAAACCAGAGAAAGACTCAGGGTCTCCCAGGTCCCAGTCCATTGCTTGAACTAACAAGCAGACTGTTCCCTAATTGCCCTTTAATTATGCAAAAAGGATGAAAAAAGTCCAAGAAAATTTAGCATTCCTTTCCTTAGTTCAGCATATTGCAGGAGGAGCTTTAAATTCTAATCCCATTTCTTCGTTTAGTTTCATTATTTAGCAGTGTCCATGCTGCATCTTTTCTGAAGGTTTTTTTTTTTCCCCTCCATATTTTATCTCCACTTAAAACATGTTATCACTTGTTCGTACCTTTCACTGTCTCTAATCTGCAAATGTACTTGCCTTCATTATATTAAAAAATAATAAAAAATTAAAAACATCATTAGAACCAAAACAAAACCTATACATTTTTGTCTGAAGTACATTTAACAAGCCATATTCAACCTGCAAAATGTTATGATGACTGTCCTTTAACACACTCATTCTTGAACAAATTGTTAAGACTGCTTATAAACTGTGTGTTTACTCCTTTTTTATAGGACCATTTATACAAATGTTGTAAATGTGTTCTACACTTTTATACACAGAGCTCAAAATATATTTTACATTAGCTTCATCTTTTTCCATCATTTAACAACAAAATTAAATCAGCTTTCCTTTAGTTGTGCAAAGATTATGCCTTTTTTAAAAAATAAGCTTAACTCCAAGATAGAATTAAATTACATTTTTCAATTGCATGCACACAGCAAAGAGGTTTAATTACCTTTTTGCCATGACTACATGGTTCTGGGCTGTACAGACTAATGAAAATATGTTATCATAATTGACAATCACAGTTTGCAGTTCACAAACATGCTACCTAGTCATTTGAAGACCAATTATTACAAGTGAAGTTCATCTTCATGGAAGACACATTTTGTGAGCTGAGCTCATTAAAAAAAAAAACAACAACATGAATTGCTTTCAGCCACAGCAGAATATTCCAGAACTCCTCATGCTAATTATGGAAGTTTCTCATTAGCAGAGACCGTAGAGTTGAGGAGCATTTAGTCATTGGACAGATATCACTGAGTGTACTTAATGAATGATGTTGGTCAAAAATCAACTCATCGCCCCATAGTTCCCCCCAAAAAATCTCTATTTTTAAAAGTCTACAAATAAGAAAGCTTTCCTTCTTTCTTTATAGCTTCCTTTAATTGCATAATACGGAAAAAGTTCCTGTAGAATGCAGCAGGCATGTCTAGGAGGAAGAAATGAAGGGCTCATTGGTGTAGGGGACAATGAACCTGAGCAGTTTTCTTTCAAAAAGGATAAAATTGTTTTTCTAAGGACCTTACATTGTTAAAAACATTTGGATGATGCTTTAGAGGAAGACTAGGAAACAAAGTGATAACAGGACTGGAGACCTGTGCTAGAAGAATTCACAGGACCTCCAGTGCTGCAGTAATTTCTTTTTCCCCATCTTTGAGCAGCTGTCATGACAGGAGCACAATTAAGTCTCTGCCTAACGACAGAAGTTTCTTGCAGATGAAGCTTTGAAATTATTTCTGTTCCACGACACTGACATACTTCTTCAATGCTCAGCTGCTTCCATATAAATGAGTAAATTTTCCCCATCTTGAGAGGAAATTCTTTCAATGGAAGTCTTAATGCCCTGGGCTCCTCAGGACATGCTCTGTTGTACATCACGTATTCATTCCCACAGGAGGATCCCTCCAGAACATCAGTATCCCAAGGAAACACAAGAAAGCCATGTCCAAAACTTGCAATGCTCAACTGTCACTGGACTGTTTCTTGAGCTGTTCCTCTGTCATGGGCTTTCTGGAAGGTCTCTTTCTTTATACAGAGCAGATATATTCGTAACTTCTGTTTCAGAGTTTATAATGCTTGTCACATTCATCTAATTAAAGACACACAAGTAACACTATTTTGTGAAAGCAGAATTCACTGTGGCTTGTGTTTCTCAAGGTTCCAAATGACTCCAGTAAAAGGCAATATCAAAACCCAAAAACATGAAGCAATTCTATCAAAATCACTAAGTACTACAAAGCAAACAGTTTAGTGAATGTATGCCATATCAATACAAATAACTCATACAGTTCACTCTTTTCATGTGAATGATCTGAAGAAGTTAAGTCATCATAAAAGGAAAATCAGGATTTCAGGTTTTGCTTTTAAAAGTAAATACATTTTTTTTTCTGCAAGAACATAAGAATTCAAGATTAGCTCCAAAGTTTCATTATAAAATCAGCACTTATTTAAAATTGCTGACATTTTCAAGATGTTTTAAAAATGCTTTGTTTCTTTTTTTAAAAGAAAGATTAAGACTAGCACCTTATGAAAAAGTGCGCCTTGTACAAGCCAAACACACAGCTGGCTTGCACCACTTCAAAACATGTGCAGTTTTGCTATCACATCCTCTGGCAGAGATCGGTTTGAGCACCACCTCGGTGCGAACTTTCTTCCTCACAGGTTTAAGTTCCAATAATCCACACACAACAGAGTAACAAACCAATTCAAATGCTATTATGTACCTGCTTCCCTCAAAACGATTGATGAGATCTGACACTTTACTGGACTTCTCCTTTGCAACAGTAGAAACAGGGGTGGGTGTCTCTTCCTCCATTCTTGATTTCTGATTTGATAAAGCTTTATGCCTAGGGGTTTGGTATGTAACAGGTGACACCTTCTGTAGATGAATTGGCTTTGGAGGCACTGTAAACAACAACAATGACAATCAATCGCTCATGAACTGTTTTCTTTGAACTACCAGAACATTTATGAGATTTTTCCGTAAGAAAACTTACTACGGTAATGAAGAAGAGATGCTCTCTGCTTTACTTAACCTTGAAGTTGCTTTATCAATACAAGGACTTCATATAGATTTTTATGCACTGTCTAGTATCAGGCATCTTGTTATATTTCTTGGATAAGAGCCAAAGCACATGTTACTTTAATAAGCTAGAAAATTAGGGGCATAGGGGAGAGAACAGAGCACAAGGGGGGGGGACACACTTGATTCTTTGTTTTTCATAGTGTACTGTAGTAAACACACATGTGGCCTCCCTAAATGCAGTTTTTATCATAAAATGGGATTAAGCATAATCAGAAGATCTAGCTGCACTGTGGAGCTCAAGAGAGAGATTTAAATTGCTGCCCCCAAACTCTGGTGCCCTCATTCTTTACCATCTCCCTTGTGACTTCAATAATAATAGTCAGTGGAAAAGGTATTTGCCTTCAGCTCTGAGCTTCCTTTACTCACTGAACCTTTATCTATTTATACTGCAGAAAACCTGAGCCCCTAGAAATAATTTTTATTCTTCTTGCTTTTCCCCCATCCCTACCATAAGTAATCAGATTGTTAATGATCAGCCACTGTTTAATGCAGCAGTGGATAGAACATATAAGACAAGGTGACACATAGCAACTGAAGTCACAAGTGGTGGGAGATCTTTAACTTTTATCCCTTTAAGTGATTATGCAGCTTTTGTGAGCAGCAAAAACACTTCACAGAGTGGACCTGAATGTGTTCCACTATCAGAGTAACACACCTCGCACTGCATCAAAAAGAAAGACTTAATGGAAAGGTCTCTAATTCCCAAGAACACAACTCTGTTCATTCCCACACACACTCCCAAAATATATTGCGGGGAGAAGCTAAAGAATTTGATATGAAATTGAAAAATAAAGACTATAGCTGCCCTTTAACAAAAGGCAGGCATAAATAGGCAGCACTACCTACAGCATAAGTAGGTAATGCACTACCAGGGGAACCAGTGGTCCCAGGGGCTTGGCTGCTGCTCCACAGGCACCGTGCTCCCATGTGCCACAGCACTGTCCCTTCAGTAACTGCACAGAGCTGCCAGGGTCACAAGCAAATGTGAAGGGAAGGAGGACAGGAAGTGGTATTAGGCATCACGTGCAACTCTCATGGTAGAAAAATAAGCACCAGTACAGGATACACAATGGATGTGAAAAAGCCATATTCCTCGCATGGCTGACTCTAAAATAGCTTACTGACTTACCCTGGAAAACCTGCGCACCATAGGAATTAGCTTAAATCCTATCAACTGACATTTGAAAGCACTGTTGAAAAAAATCTTGCAAATATGCTATGATAGACTACAATAAATTTGAAGGAACACTTGATCAGGATGACGTTCTATCTCTACCTTACATTAAATTTATAGGAGGTAATATTTATCTGTGTTTCCAATAACCTAACTGCACTTAAGTGGGATTGTAATGACAGCTGCAGTTTGAAAAGTACCATGAGAGATTCTATGAAGACATGTATGTACCACAAAAAGCTTTAGACTTCAACCCTATCAATTACAAATGCTGATAAATGAAATAATCAGAGGGAGAAGGAAGAGAATTACTGTAGATGCTTTTACTGTCTATATGTGTCTCTTTGTTCCTTTCAAGCTTTATTTTACATTTATTAACACAAGCAAATAAAACAAGTTTGGTGAAGGATGCAATGCAGAAAGGACGACTTAAAATACTGCCATTTTCATGTAGTTACAATGCAATCCTGAAACAAGTAGAATATTAATTTATGCAACTGCTTGAGTATCTGTAGTAACTGAAGCCTCTCTTGAGAAGCTGCATACATTTGCTCAGCTGCAGCTGCAGTGCAGCAGAGCAGCTTTCCCTATAGTCCATCTTCTGAGTTGGGAGCTGGGAGAAGGTCTGGCAGAATTAGGCCAACGAGCATCAGATAATTGTCCAAGTGCTGAATAGCTTGCTGTGCTGACAAAGGCGATGGGACAGCTGAAAAAGGCGAGACAAGCAGGCTAGGAAAAAGCAGGACACATAATTGAGCGTGAGCACTGCCATTCCCTCAGGGAGAGGATGGAAGGAAGGGGAACATTGGGTGGATTTACTGACCAGTACTCTGCTACTGTGTAGAAACACTTTGTGCTCTTGCAATAGATTTTGCATAACCCACAGTCCTGTGAATTCTCTTATTTAATAGACTCATACATCTCTTCAGTTCTTTTATACATCTCATAAAAGGTTAATATCCTCAAAAGGATATATTAAAACTATTAAACTTGAGGGAATTAACATCTACTGATAAGGCAGAAGGAATTAGTTGGAAGCTATTTTTATACTGGATCCACTAGGATAAAAATCCAATTCTAGGACATTCTGTGGAGGTGTCGCACACAATTGCAGCTGTTACTATGAAGGAAAAATCTGAAAAATCCCCAGCTTAGCAGCTTTTCAGTAGGACATGCACAAGGAACCTCTGGTCAAACTGGACAATCCCAATGTATTGAAAACCTCTGTAGTGTCTTCAGAGGAGAACTGCAAACAAAACAACCACACCAATTCACTACCGCAAGATATTTTCTTCCTTACTCTCTATTATCATCTAACAAACAGCATTTCGCCTAATCAGCTGCTTCTGTAGCTACTGTAAGTTTTAGAAATAAAGCAATAGGAAAAGGACAGTCACAAGATCAATGAAAAGAAAAGAACCAGCAGTGTAAAAAAAAAAAAAACAAACTAAACCCACAAACCTTCCTGTAAGATCAGCCTTGTTAACAGGGATTATGGAAAAACAATTCCATTAATTCTCCCCTCAATGTACTTCTGAAGTGTTTTGTTTTAATCAGATTATTTTTCAATGTGCCACAGAGCAAGGATCTTAAGGAAAAACAAATGAGAAAAGACTGGCCCATTGTAATACCCTGCATAATACAGAGCTCTGTTCAAGTCTATAAATACTCTATACTGTAGAACTTTGAGCTCGTTAGGAGATATGAACTGTATATTCTGCCCAAAGAAAACCCCTCAGTATGCTCAGGTAGCTCCTACTGTATAGCACTAGCCAAAATATCCAGTCAAGACTGAAGCTGCGGTACCTAGCTCTGCATTCAACTTTGTCTGTATCACAGAATCACTGCATGGTAGGGTTGAAAGGGACCTCTGAAGATCATCCAGTCCAACCCCTGCCAGAGCAGGATCACTTAGACTAGGTCACACAGGAACACGTCCAGGCAGGTTTTGAATGTCTCCAGAGGAGACTCCACAACCTCTCTGGGCAGCCTGTTCCAGTGCTCTATCACCCTCACAGTGAAAAGGTTTTTTTCTTATGTTTAGGTTGTGCTACAGTTTCTGAGCATTGTCTCTTGTCCTGTCACTGGGTACAACCAAGAAGAGTCTGGTCCTATCCTCCTGACACCCACCCTTCAGATATTGATAAGCATTGATGAGATCCCCTCTCAGTTTCCTCTTCTCCAAGCTAAACAGATCTAGCTCTCTCAGCCTTTTCTCGTATGGGAGATGTTCCAGTCCCCACACCATCTTAGTGTCTCTCCACTGGACTCTCTCCAGTAGTTCCTTGTCCTTCTTGAACTGACAAGCCCAGAATTGGACACTACTCCAGATGTGGCCTCACTGGGGCAGAGTGGAGGGGGAGGAGAACCTCCCTCGACATACTGGCCACACTCTTCTTAATGCACCCCAGGACGACATTGGCCTTCTTGGTCGCGAGGGCACATTGCTGGCTCATGGTCAGCCTGCTGTCCACCAGGACTCCCAGGTCCTTTTCCCATGAGCTGCTCTGCAGCAGGTCAGCCCCCATCCTGTACTGATACATAGGGTTCTTTCCCAGATGCAGTACTCTACACTTGCCCTTGTTGAATTTCATTAAGTTTCTCCCTGCCCAACTCTCCAGCCTGTCCAGGTCTTGCTGAATGGCAGCACAGCCTTCTGGTGTGTCAGCCACTCCTCCCAGCTTTGTATCATCAGTAGTAAATTTGCTGAGGGTACATTCTGTCCCATCTTCCAGATCATTGATGAATGTATTGAAAAGGACTGGACCCAGTACCAACCCCTGAGGAACACCACTAGACATGGGCCTCCAGGTAGACTCTGCCCCACTGGCCACAACCCTTTGAGTTCTGTCCTTCAGCCAGTTCCCCATCCACCTCACTATTCAACCATTCAATTCACCCTTCTTAAGTTTGACTGTGAGGATGTCAGGGGAGATGGCGTCAAAAGCCTTGCTGAAGTCAAGAGAGACCACATATACGTAAGGGAATGGGAGGTAATGCTACAAGTGGATCAAACAGGTGCAGCCACCTTTGCTGATTCCGAAGCATACGAGCAAAGGTCACTGTCTCTCTTCTCTTGGAAAGTTAAATATGTTCAGTCTCTCTCTACATATTTAACTCCCACTGGTTAAAAGTACTGCTACATTTCTAGTCAATGAAAATATACAGTTAACAGTTCCAGTGGGAAGCAATTATAGCTTTCCTGCCTGAGTCATCCTTTTTCACCTCCTTGCATGCTCCATCACCTTCAGGAAGATCAAACGAGCACAGCTGGATAGATACCAAAGATTTACACTCACAAGAGCAGTACAAAATAACTAGTAACCTAGACTCAGCAGAAGGAAAGAAAGTGTCATCTCATCTGTAGGACGTTCATTTCCACATTTACAAATCACATCAGAAAAGTAACTTCCAAGAAATAAGACTAGTAATAATCAGGTGTGCTTTGTTCTCTCATTTATCTTCTTCCTGCAGATGTTTGGGATTTAGCAGTTTTGTTGATAAAAGAGTCATTGCTACAGGTTCTTTAAAGCACCACTGAGACTGGAGAACTCTAACTAGAAACCATTCTCTGATTTAGTTCAATTCACCTTTAATTGTAGCAGTTTCATTTGCCAGAGAAGTACAGTCTACAGCCCAGACCTTTGAAAGGTCTTTCTGCTTTTCTGGGCTCAAGTCACTGAATACCTTCAAACCCATAGACTACACTATAATTAACTGAGAAAGGAGAACAGGATTGGTGCTACACAGTAGATAGTCTGCTAAAACTGACTGTTGAAGTCCAAGTGCTGAATGCTTTGTGTCTGTACCATTTCACAGTAGCACAAACCAGGCCATCTTCTGGAGTGGAAAATCATATCCAACCCAAACAAAAATGCCTCTTCAGCCTCAGCAGGAGATTTATAAGTACTACCAAGCACTCATTAGAAAAATTTAAATGAGCAACTGATGCACAGTCCTGAACTGACAAGACACTTCACTGCTTTGAAGAAGTGTTGACATTTAAGCATATTTTCCATCCTACGATAATACTGCCTGGTACAGACAACAGTTTCAGTGCCCAGTATTTAGTAATTGAGCAAGATATAAAACTCATGCAAGAGGTTTAAAGAGCAGGGAACAGAAGAAACTAGAAAATAAAGTGTCAATTTGTACATGTCACTCTACCTGCATTCTGCTATTGCTAGATCCAGATTGCTGTCCAAATATTTGTAGGCAAATTTCAAATAACCTAAGAATTTGCTTCATCTCTTATGCATCATATTTGCCTAGGAACTCAGTAGCATATTTTGCCATTTCCTCTGACTGCCTCCACTGTGGATTAGTCCATTTTATCAGAGAATGTGCTGCACTGATGCAAAGGCAAAGCACTGTGTTACAGAGCAGTATTGCAACTGCTTTTCTCCACAGTCCTGATTTCTTTGCTTAACTCCCTCATTGGCCTTCAGTCAGTTTCAGGCTTTGATTCATAAAAGTCTTGGTAAATTTGGAACAAACTGCACTCAAGACAAAAATCTGACATATGAATTGCTAAATTGTTGATGGAAGGAATTATTGGTGAACAAAAATCGCTCTCTTACTGTCAGTGTATCAGACAGCTAGTTTGTTTTCTCCTTGAAATGCCAGGGGAAAAATGAAAATGAAAAGAAAGAATTTTATATTGGATTCTGTTCAGAAATTTATTCACTTGATCTGAGCTAGCTACCCTGAGTGATCTGTTTCCAAATATTTAAATTACTTCTCAGAGGTTAAGTACAGACAAAAGAGGTTCAGAGTCCAGGGTTCACTTCAAGTGCAAGATTTTGGTCATTTTTCCTCTGTATTAAAGCTCTATTTCCTCTATTAAAGTTAAGCTTACTAAAAATAGCTGTACCTCACTTATAATGCCACATCAAAGTCATCTTCATATCTCTCATTTTAATTATATACATTTTGGTATGTTAGATGAAGGTCATTTTGCAGTTAGTTCATCGATGACCAAATGCACTGACATTACAATTCATATCTGTCATCTTGTTTCCTTTCACTATGAAAGGGCACTTAGTATTTGCATGACTACAGCAACAATTTGGAAAAACATTTCCATAAACCAAAAATGTTTCTGTACCTGTGCATGAAAAGCTGTTAAAAAAAAATTAGAAACCACATCTAAACTAATAAACTAGCACAATTTAGTTTGCTTGGATTACTTGGACTCCCAATCTCACTTGTTCTGTTTTAATTCAATTAAATAAAAAGGCAAAAAAGATGTATTATATAACTTCAATATGATGCACATATTTAATAGAAACAAATAGTGAAAGACATAGTGCCACTGAGCAAAGCAGGCACAAAATACTATTTACAACAGTATTACCGAATATCATCTACACAGCTGCATTTCTTAGACTACAATATTATTCCTGGCTACGCCACATTTTGGAGCAAGCAGTTTTGACAAACACAGAAGTCATGGCTAGAAAAGAGCAACAACAGCTGCGTAACTACTTGAATGAATGGGGTTGAACAATAGCCAACTCCAAATTTATCTAATAGCTATAATTTATAAGTGGACTGGCTTTGTATTTGAAAGGCTTAAAATCTTTTTATTGATTGCTCATTTCTCTTTATTTATTAAGAGATTTCTAAAATATTTTTCTTAGGAAGAACATGTGCTCTCCTGTTAACTTAGCTTCAGAGAATGTGTTTCAGAAACCTATTATCTGGTGCAGAAAGGCCACTCAGATAAGTAGTGTTTACATGTGACTGATGAGAATATCTTAGTTTAGTGAACGATACTGGCAAAAGTTCTATAAAAAAAACCAAGCAACACACACAAAAAAAGTTTTATTTTGCTCTTATTCTCCCTAATTAAACAAAACTTTCTTGACAGCCCAAATAAATTTCTTCCCCCATAAATCTAAGATGAACTCAGGACTAATACAAAATTCAGGATGCATTTTCCCATTAATTCATACACAGAGTGTTAAACCCACTAAGTGATGACTCTACGCGATTCTAGCTTCTATACATGTAGGATAGCTTTCTTAAGTAATTCTACTTTCTGTCATATCAGCACTATGTTTCAGAATCCAATTAATTGAGCAGGATAATTATATCAGTCTTCTGAACTCACTCTAACTTTTGAGATGAGTGACATTCCTATTGCATATCACTCCTAAGAGACATCAGTCCAGATTTGCTTTGAATCCAACATTTCCAGAACATATTGATCCTTTGTTGTGATCAAACTCCACAGAATCATCAATATTACTGAGAAGACCACATAAAAAGATGGTTTGAGGTTTACAACACATAGGTTGACCAAATTAGCTTCTAAAAGTGAAGATAATACTTATGGACAGGAAGCAGGGAAGCCTACTTTTACTCTGCAGACATTATTGGTCAACTTTTACTGCACAAAGTTCCCATCTTTTCCACTTACTCCTGCAGGAGGGTTTTTCTCCAGGCTCAGCTAGAACCCCAAAGGCCCTGCATACCTTCCCCACCACCTCTGCCTTGAAGCCAGCCTGCCAAACCCTCCATCTAATTGAGAAATAGTGTCACAACGTTCCAGCACAAAAAGAGTAATCCTTTTGAAAAATAAGCCCTGACAACAGTTTAATACAAACAAGGGGCTTACATGTGTTTGCTCACCTCTACCTACCAGCCACTTATTGGGCAGAGAATGAATTTAACACTTGCTGTCTGACAGTAAGCGCACAGCAAATTACTAGACACTTAAGGTACAAGCACATAGGTGTATCAAAACTTATTAATGTAACAGTAAATCCAACTTTTCTTCTGAGAACCTTTTTCAGCAAAATATTATCAGAAACTACAGATTCAAAAAGCATTTACAGAATATTCATATTTCAGTAGCAAGCTTTTACCACACTATTTTCTTTCTGAGAAAAGATGCTCTATTTCTCTTAAAGTCTGAGATGAAGAACAACTTCCTTAACCAAAACATTTGAGAATACTCACCTTGTGGCTTTGGATTTGAAGCTGAACGTGGGGACTGTTTGACTGGCACACTTCCATTTATTCCCTGAGCCGCTTCATTGCGTAAATTCTGCTCAACTAGCCTGGTTGTGGCACTTGCTGCACAAGATCTAGACAATATTAAGGACTTTGGACAGATGCTGCTGCCTGAAAAACAAATAGGTACAAAAAGCCCAGGAGTTAGAAACAGGATTAAATATAAGGTGGAATGTTTATCAACACATTTACTAAGTGCTAATTCTTCTCTACAGAGAAAATTAGAATACTTGTCTTCCCCTTGAAGGGTGTCCCATCCTAAAAATACACTTTGCCTTTCACTGAAATTTATGATGTTGCTTAAACCTTGAAGAGCTGGATATAAAATAAGATTTCCACCTTAACTAGCCAAGGCCTTTCTATAGCAAGATTACAATCTGTAATAGACTTTTTCCTATCTGAATTGTCAATGTTCTTGATCAACAGAAGAACTATAGAAAAAAAACAGTATTTCTGTTCAGCCGTTTTATTTCTGTATTCAAAGCGTCCATAAAACACTATACATTCAAAACATTTATTATGGAAGGTAGCATCCAAAAATTAGCTAAATATATTGCAAGTTCTTTGTAGGAAAGGGCTCCTATTATAAGCATTAAAAAAAAGAGCAAAGCACAAAGCCAGCTGACACTTCTTCCTAGCAGAATGGAAATTATTCTGATTAAGAGGATCAAGATGCTGCTATTTGTAAGCAAGCTGGAAGAAAACAGAAAGCTAAACATATTCAAACAATGGAAACTGTAGTAAAAGCACTTACTAGAATGTGCTCACACAAGCCTGAACTATGCACTTCTGTTTTGGGGTGACATTATTGTACCTTTGCTTCCTTGTACTCTAAAAACTGCAAACATGAGTGGGGGTTTGATTGCATGTTACCAAAAAAATCAAATCCAAAATTCAGTCAACCATATAATAAAATGATCCTCTGATGTCTTCTGAGCATCAAGCAGTCTGCAGTCTGGACCCTCTGATCTAATTAATCTCTCTCTCCCACAGCAAAATCCATCATATCAAGCCATTCCTAGCAACAACCCAGCCAGCTTAGACCAGATTGGAAAGAGATGCCATAGCTATTGCTCAACACTGTTTAAAGACTCTTCAACATTTTGTAGATTCCAATAATATTTTCAACTATTTAAGTTCTATTTCCAAGAAGCTTCTTTTACCTTTTAAATACTGAAGAATCCCTACACCAAGAAGCTGCCTTTACAAACACGGAGGCTTGCGGATGTCCATGGTAAGATAAAAAATCCACCCTACCAAAGCGCCAGTACTTGGATCACATGGCATGCAAGACACCACAGCTACAACATGGCGTCTTTCCCTCTTCCATTCCATTCAATGAGCAATGGAGCTACCAAGAACAAGGTGGCTGGTCCCAGAACGATGTGGATAATTTAACATCAAATACTTTCTCCACAATCAGTGGCCTACATTTCAGTAGGGCTGCTCAATTCTGTCCATTTAAGTAAGCAATAACAGTATCCCTTTTGGAAATACAGTTGTTGCCCTGTAAAATATATGCAAAAAGACAAACATGCTGCAAAACCTGCAGCTTTTTCTGGGCTGAAGTAGATTCCCATTGTGATTTTTTCTGATGTGACTAAAGAAACACTTGCGTGTTATTGCTATTTGTATGCATTATAATAACTGAGAAATTTTACCTGAAGTCAGAAAGGCAATGAGCAATAAAATACTGTCAGCCAGTTACTGCATTCACTAGTACATGATTAATATCACCTCTTATAATCAGGGATTATTACACTGAAGAGAAGAGAAAGGTGGGTAAAGATTTAAAAAAAATTAAAATGGGGGCAGGTGAGAATGTAAGCCAGAAAGTGGAGGTAATAAATAACTAACAGAAAAGATGAATAAACACTGTAAATTTGATGAGCATAATTATTTTGCTTATGATTTGCAAGGAAATGAGAAGCTAGTATGCTTGCAAACATGTTTGCATCTGCAGGAATGTCTGAAGCTAGATGGTGCATTAGAATGCTCTGAAAAAATAGGTAATTAGAAATAACTTGGAGTCATGAACATTTAGACAAACATAATCAGACAGCTTAAAATGGCAGTAACATGAGAAAAACGGTTTATTTATATTTGCAAAAGGATAAACTAATATTTTAATATTAGATAGGTCCTTCATCAGCAGTTCCATAAGTTTCAGGAAGATAATCTCAACACAAGTATGTTTTCTGTTATATTCACTTTCAGTCCCACTGATAGCACATCTATACTGATCCAGCACTGTGTAATTTTTCCTGCCATTGAGATCCCACTCTCGATCATACATTCTGAATGAAAGAAATGCAAAATTTCTGGATGTAACCAAAGTCTATGGGAAAAAGGTGATTCTCTTGTGACTTCCAGAAGGCAAAATTTAAGACTCAAAATTACTTCTCTTAAAATTATATACCTATGTATATTTAGTGTGTTGAGTCCCAAGAACGCCTGTCATAATGGTTGTGATCTTGAAGTTCTACTGCTAGATCTTCACAGAATCACAGAATCACAGAAC